TGAGCAGTCGGTCATGTTGGATCCCCACACTGACCGTTTCCATGACTGTAAGGAGTTGCCGCCACCCCACCCCCACCCCCCCACCGAGAATGGTTACAAAGTGGACACAGGTCCTAGATTCGTATGTCTGCTATGCTCTGCAGCAAGGCAGGGCCATGAATAAAGCTCCAAACAGTAACTGCCTTTCCTGTTAGTGTTCTGGCTCCCGAACTGAGATAAGCTACCTGCTTCTCCACCTTCCCCCAAGGGTGGCTTTGAACTTACAGTCCTCTTCTTAGCCAGCCGAGTGCTAGGATCACAGGCAGGAGGATACCAGTCTCTTTTCAGCCAGACACCTCGTCTTCCGGGTAACTTGGTGCAGAGCTTACACCAAGCAGGGCTCTTGCCCAAGTACTCACTGCTAAAAAGACCAGCTCCTGGGGAGTAAGCACAGCTTACTTAAAACTGACTTAAAACCATTTAAAATCATCCTGACGGCACACAAAACAGAAAGTTCTAAAGTCCTCGAGCTGCCCTTGAGTGCTGGTCACTCCACTGAAGCAGGCCTGGGAACCCAAGGGTGCTTTAGACGGTGATTCATAAGGACGTGGTCACAAATGGGGAGGAAGTGGGAGTATGGATCCCGGAGGTAAGTAAGCAGCCTGGGCTTGCTTCCTTGCTCCACCACTTCCCTGCCTACGTGACTTGGCCCGAGTGTTTTATTATTGCTGTGCCTTGGTTTCCTCACGTGATAACCAAGAAGCTAATGTATACATTCTATGGGGGTTGCTGTGATGAGTGAGGCAGGTTGGGTCTGTAAATGGCATGGTGTGCATTAAAAAGAAACAAGCCGGCCATAATGAATGTCATCATGTCCTGGGGAAATCGGGGGAGGGAAGATCCGGGGCCTTGAGGGAAGCTGTGACCCTAAAGAAGAGGGCACTAAGACAGCTAACAGCAGCCAGGCCTGTGGGAGGGACAGAGAGACACACTTCAAGGGAGGTATAGGACCAGCTGCCAACTCCTAATGGGACAGGAGAGGTTGGCTCATTGACAGGAATCTGCCACTCCAAAGCCCCTTTAGAATCTGACAGTCTCCATGATACCCTGTGGAATTCCTAGATACAGTCTCGGTGCCAGCTGGCCCAAGGTTTGTTCCAATGAGGATGGCATGCCGGTACAGGATCGAATCAGTCACAGATCCTTTGTTCTGTCTCCTGGACTCCCGGGTGCCAGGGCACAGGCAGGTCCAGCCTGGCAGACAGCTGCCATCTGAAGGATTCAGGTTGTTATCAGATGGACACTCGCTAAACAGTGTCCCTCCTGGCCTCCGTGGTGCCTGCAGCCGCGCACGTAGGCCTGCATACTTCCTATCTCTGCCCAGGCAATTGCGTGCCAACCACCCTGCCCCATTCCAAGGCAGCCGGAGCCAGCTGGGGCACAGGGCTTGGGGCAGGAGCCAAGCAGTTTTGCTCTCCCCATCATTTTTGATTCCCCAATAATTTTCTTCTAAGCATAGGCCGGAACAGCGGCAGTCAGTGTGGGGATACAAACCTGTAAGAGCAGGAGGCTAAGCTATGCTTGATCTGAAAGGACGCCAAGGGGCACAGCCCTTCCTCAGGCCAGAGCCTACCCTGAGAACTGTGCCCAGATCTGGATTTAAATACTGCTGTGGGATCAGAGTCTGAGTGGGTAAGGTGTGTGTGTGTGTGTGTGTGTGTGTGTGTGTGTGTGTGTGTGGTATGAGCACGGGTCCTTGGCCAGGATTCAGGTAGCAGCCCATCTGTGCTAGAGAGTTTTATGTTGATACAAACTAAAGTCATCCAGGAGGAGGGAACCTCAGTTGAGAAAACACCTCCATAATATCAGCTGTACTCAAGCCTATAGGGCATTTTCTTAGTTAGTGATTGAGTGGGAAGGACCCAGCCCATTGTGGGTAGTACCATCCCTGGGCTGGTGGTCCTGGGTTCTATAAGAAAGCAGACTGAGCAAGCCACGGGGAGCCATCCAGTAGACAGCGTTGTTCCTCCGTGGCCTCTGCATCAGCTGCTGCCTCCAGGATCCTGCCCTGCTTGAGCTCCTGTCCTGACTTCCTTTGGGGATGAACTGTGAGGGGGAAGCGTGAGCTGAATAAGCCCTTTCTTTCGCAAGTTGCTTTGGTGATGGTGCTTCATCACAGCAATAGTACCCATAACTAAGACACCGCCTGACCCGTCCTCAAAGCTGGCCTTCAGCATCAGAAATGACGTGGGACCGTTCTGTCAGCTTGTGTGACGTCTCCGCATAGTTTGTAGAATCTCCGGTATGTCTTCTCTTATACACACGTAGTTGGGACGCTAGTGGTCAGGACCACTTCCTGATGACTTGCTCTGCCCCAGGCAGTGGTAAGGATAGCTTGAAGTAGTCATTTCCTGCTGTCTCCCCACCAGTGCTCAATGATCCTGTTGTCAGTGATGCTGAGCAAGCGAGGACCCTGAGAGCTGTGCTATAATATTAGGGAACTTGGCCAAGGCCCCCCAGACAGAAAGTGTGTTAGACCAGCAACCAAAGGAGGTGGTGTGTCTCAGAGCAAGCGCCCGGTGCCCTAACTAGCTCACTCATTGGTTGGGAGCAGCACGCAGGGGCGTGGCTTGGCACTGCCCCCCTCTCCTCCACGTACCCCTAACCCCAGCTGAGACAAGGCATTGGCTCCGTGTGGACGGGAGTCCACTCTGGCTTTGCCAAGGAGAAAAGTTACTGACGCCGCGTCTTGTATAAAAGGGAATGGTCCTTTAGGGTCTGCCCAAGTGTTTGTTGAGCAACAAACAGAATTCGAAGTTTAAAAAGTGCTTTTTGGATCCTGAGATTTTTTTTTTTTTTCCATTTCAGCGTTTACTGTTCACTGTTTCTTCAACGGAGCCGATTGCATCGCTCAGTTTTCGAAGAAACTTTTGGCTTAGGAAGCACTAGCCTTGTAATTATGCTCGTCAACAGTCCCCTGGGGCTTTTTCTTTAAGCTTATTTCAAGTGAAAGCACCGCCCTTTCAACGTGTGGTCAGCACAGAGGGAAGATTTAGCATCGAGTTACCACACTTCTGGGTAGCAGGGATTTTGGAGTGTGAGCATAGGGAGCCCTGAGGGCTGGTGCTTCGCGGCTCACCCCAGGCTCTGTTCGGTTTGGCCTGTCACAGCCCAGTCGCTTGCACAGGGCTTACTTACTCATGCTACACTTGCACAGTGCTCGACGCCAGGGCGAGTGGAGGATGTGGTGTGTGGTGGGCCTTTCCTTTCCTGAAAGACAGAATCACTTGAGTTTCCGCCCTCCATGCTTGCTTCCCACCTGCTTATCCACTTCAGTGCCGACACGGCACTTGACCATGTAGGGACACCTGTTTAGTTGGTTGGCCCTTTCTGGGACTTGAGTTTCACTCAGCTATTTTCTGAGCAACTGGTAGACACAGATCTTGTGCCTGAGTTTTCAGCAGGACTGATTAAGGCATCAAATGCATACAGGAAATGTAGCCTGCTCTCAAGCATGGAGCCTGTTGAAATGCATGCACGGCTCGGGAGTGGAGAGATGGCTAGGTCGGATTGCTTGCTCTGCAAGCTTGAGGATTTAGCACCCACGTTTAAAAGCAGGGAGGGGCTGGGCTATATACCCAGCACTGGGGGCAGAGACGTGCAGATCCCAGTCAAAACAGTGAGCTTGTCGTTGGTCCAGTCGGGACCCTGTCTCAAGTCAGTAAGGCAGAGTGATAGAGGAAGACATCCAACCTCTTGTTCTGGCCTTAGCATATTACATATGTAAAATGATGCATGCGCCCATGTGCAAACACGAGTGCACACACTCATGCACGCAAACACTCATGAGCACACACAGGCACACACATGCACCCACACACAGGCTCACACACGTACACACCTGTACACACATCTCAAGCAGAACATGGGGAGGAAGCAGATTTCCCAAGACGGAGAGGCAACCTTTGACACAGTGCTAGGTGCCTCCGTGAGGAAGGGGTCTGGGTGGGGCATTTCCACCATCACTCCTTACACAAACAGTCTGTGAAGGCAAAAGCTGGACGACAGACCCAAGGACAAACTAGAGTAGAAAAATGGCATTCCAGGCCAACCACGGCCGCCTGTGTAAAACACATTCAGCAGCTCTCCATGGGTCAGGGAGCAGAGTTAGAGCTACTTAGGAAAGTATCTGGATGAAGGGACAGAAGTGACAGTGGTGACACTGAGTTAATAGGACCAGAGCGCTTCATCACTTAGGTAAGAGGGAGACATGTGTCTTTCGGAATGAACACAGAGACAGGCAACAGAGAGCTCTGCAGGTGACCCAGGTTTCAAGCCTCCTTGTGAGGGGATACCACTGAGAGGAGGAGCTCAAGGGGAGGGGCTGCTTGGCTCAGAAAGGGATCTTCAGTCAGGTGACATTGCACATGGCTGCCAGACACCAGGGATTCAAGGGTGTGGTCAGGGCAGGACTGAGGAACTGGCTCATTTGGTCAATTTCTGTGCAAGCTTGAGGCCTGAGTTCAGATGCCCAATACCCACAGGTGTGGTGGCACACACCTGCCTATAATCCAAGCGCTAATGTGCAGAAACAGGAGCATTGTGGGCACACATTGGCTGGCCAGTGTAGCTAATCCATGAGCTTCAGATTCAGTGAGAGAGTCTGGGTTGAAAATCTAGGTAGACAGAAATAAAAGAAGATATCCAGTATTGATCTCTGCTCTCTGCACAGACACACATGATACACACACACATACTCACATATACATAAACACACACACCACACCATATATATATATGGTCAGGGCTGGAGATGGAGACTTAGGAGTTGTTAGCTCAAGGGCACCAGCTAAATGGTAAGTTATTTAGCTTCTTCATCTGAAGCTAGACTTTTCCGGTTTTATGGGTGGGTGAGTATTTCTGGTGTCTAGGTGGAGCCTTAATTCCCCTAATACAGCTAGTTCTTGGATCCTTAAGATTCCAAGAAAGGGATTCATTCTCTCTGTCTTCCTCCTCCTCAGTTGTCCAGCTTCTAATTCTGCAAACAACAGCTGGAGAGAGGCAGCAAGGGTCAACTCAGCAACTGTGAGGTGGGAGTAAAGAAGGCATCCGGGCTGAGTGGGTGGCTGGGGGTGCCGCAAGCACATGGCGTGGGTAAAACCATTTGTCACTTTTTAAATGCATGACAAGTTTAAATATTCTTTCAAAATCGTTTGAATTGTGTTCCAAAGATTGTTTCATCTTACAGTTCATTCCCAAAGCCTGGCGATTAGAAAATCAGAACTCCAGATTGTAGGATTCTGATGGCAGGCATCACGTGAACACCAAGTCTGAGCCCCACTCATAGTGGATTGTCCACAGAGTAGAAAGTTAAGGAAAGGCTGCTGTCCACAGTCCCTGCTGACGACAGGCCTCTTCCTAGAGAGTGGCGCGGAGTTGTGGGCCGGGTTTTATTTCTGGCCAAGCATAAGCTGGGATTCTAATCAGAACTTGCTTCTTGCTTCACTCTCTGACTAACCAAATGTTTGTCTGTGGGGGACACTGTTGGGGACTGTAAACCCTCAGACCCTGAATTTTCTTGACCCCTTGCCTGCCAGAGTAAACAACTTGTTTTCCTGTGTTTGCAGCTGCTCTGAGCACAAGACCTTCAGGAGTTCCTGATGGCAGGGGAGTGGTTTCTGGTGGGTTTGCAGCTGAAAAATCCCAAAAGCTGGGGCATGGGCATTAGTCAAGGAGAACCCTATATAAGCTGCCCTGGAACACAATAAAATTGGCATTCTTGTTTCAAGGATGTCTCTCTCTCTCTCTCTCTCTCTCTCTCTCTCTCTCTCTCTTTCCATTTCCATCTCATTACCCAACTTGCAAACTGTCCCATGGGGCAGGTGCTACAGAACACCCCCTAGGGATGAGAGAAGCAGGAAAATGTCCCCAAAAGAACTGAGAACCCCCGACAGTCTATGGCTGCTGGTTTCTTGGGCTAGGAACTGGCAAGACCAAATGGCTCTGCACAGAATCCAGCTTCTTCTAGTGGAGGCTGTCTCCCTGGATTCTGGTCTTCTGTTCTTGTCTGTCCTCAAACAATGACTTTGCCATCATTGCTTCCCAGCCCCAGGCATCTGTCACTGTCTAAAGACAGTGTTCCCATGGGGTAGAGGGACAGTGCTAACTACACGAGGTGGATGGAAACCAGGGATGCCGATCATCCTTTGGGTGCATGCAATGCAAAGCCAGTGTGTCCTGTAGTGAAGCCAGCTTTAGCTTGTGACCCCACCATCGTTTGTTTGTTCCAAAGTGAGGTAAACAAACTTTCCAGGAGGTAGATGCTGGCGTAGCAGCTGTGTGTGTGAGGGTATAATTGAGTGAATACGTGTGAGTGTGTGTGTGTGTGTGACTGAGAGTGTGAGTACATATGTGAGTGTATCACTGGGTGAATAAGGGTGTACAACTGGGTGTGCAAATGAGCAAATGCATGTATGTGTGAGTGTGTAAGTGCGTATATGAGGGCAGATGTATAAGGGAGTGCACAACTGCAGGTGTGAGTGAAAGAATGTATATGAGTGTGTGAGAGTGTGAATGTGATCATATGTAACCTTTACCAGTTCTGCAGACACGTGTGTCACGCTTGTATCAAGCTTCCGAGGTGACATCATTAACACAGATTAATGCAGGGAACTTCCACTAGACATAAACCAGGACCAGATACTCGTACGAGACCCATCAGCCCTCAAACCTTAGGAGAAAAGAAAACCAGGACATGTGATTGTGGCTGTCAGTGTCACCTGAGCCATGTTAGAACCCAGACTGAAGGAAAGATTATTATAACGATCCTGTCTTCATGTACAGTTTTCTTTACAACATTTTTTTTTAGTTTGTTGACAGTTTCATATAAAATTACACTTGCAATTTTCAAAATTTGTTCATTATGGACATTTTTCTGTAGTTTAAAATATTAAATATTATTTCCTTTATTGTTTTACTCTTTCTCCTCCTTTTCTTTCCTTGTTTGCTTTCCCTTCCTCTCCGCCACCATCCTTCCTTCCTTTACCGCTGTTCCTAGTGCGAGGATCTGGTTACCACGCCGAAGGCTTCTCTTTCAGCTGGCATTATCCATCCCAGGAGGGCAAGAAAGCAGGCGCTCCTGTGTGTCCAGTGTCGGGGATATGGCTGTGCTGTTTAGCGTGCTTGCTGCTCCTTTATGAGGATCAAGGTTTGGAGTCTAGTGCCCACATCAGGAAGCCCAAGTACACCTGGGAAGCAAGATTAATAAAAACTCAGAGACCTATACTGGGGTTCAACTTGAAGATCCGAAAGCAAAGCAGCCAGCCACTGGCTCTTACCTCGACCTCCATCCGAAAATGGCGATCCTGTCTCCAGGAATCTCAGAATGAGACTGAGACTGAGAGCTGACTCCTCCCGTTTTATAATCCTCTCTAGTTCTGGGATTAAAGACGTGCACCACTGGGATTAAAGACGTGCACCGGCTGGTCTCTATGGCAGCTAGTGTGGCTACTGGGATTAAAGGTGTGTGTCACCACTGCCTGGTCTGTATGGCTGACCAGTGGGACTGCTTTACTCTCTGATCTTCAGACAAGCTTTATTTATTAAACTACAAATGAAATGCCACTACACACTTGTAACCCAGCCTCAAGGGATCCAGTGTGTCTTCTGACCTCTGTGAGTGCATGAGGGTGCACACATACAGTAAAAGAAGTATTTAAAAAACAAAACAACCCCCCCCCAAAAAAAAACTCCAGTGAGGTCATTTTAATGTTTTCTGAGGACAGCTATTTATCTGTAAAAAATTCAAATTTGTTATCAATGAGCTGTGTGTTCAGTCTATAAGCCCCAGTCCTTAGTCACCACAAAGGGTCCCAGAGTTGCGTGACAGGTGTCCCTGCCTCTTGGAATCCCTTGAGACTTTTCTAGGTCATATGGAAGTGCCAATTTAGATGTTTCTCTGCAGCAAAGCCCAGATGACAGCTGCTTCTCTTCTCAGGACCCCTTGAGGCCTGGAAGGGAGCTCAGAGATGCAGGCTCTGGCTGTGGCCCACGCCCGCGGGAGCTCAGGCTCAGGACAGATGGTGTGGCACATGTTCTTGTCCAAGTGTCCTCCATTAGATGTGTCTGTTTTGCTCGCCCTGGCATGTGACCAAAGTCTGCCCTCCGGGGTCTGTTCCCATTTTGTTCATTACCGGGTCTCCAGCTCAAGGACTGGCACACAGTAGGTACATATGGCTGTTAGGCGATGGGTAAATCAAGGACTGGTGGGCACTCAGTAACTCTTACAAGGATGGGTAGACAGAGGACAGACAGTGACACAGATCATGGCCACAAGTAAAGACGCTAGAAGTTCAAAGGCAAGGTTGAGTGAAATCTCAAATTCCCAGGCCCCTTTCCTGGAAAAACCAACAGTAGACATTTCAACACTATGCCCATGGCTGGGTGAAAGAGACATTAAATCATACCTTCCCTGGAAATACAACTGACACACACGAGACCGGATCTTCTATCCCACAACTGACAGAGTCGGCCTCTGCTTTCCAGAATGTTCTGTTCCCTGTGGAGGACAACGAGCTATATGTAATGACTTCTTGAGATGGCAAGCTGCTAGCAGCAGAGTGATGTGCAGTCCTAGGCTCCAAGAGGCCCAGTGACTGTTACCGCCTTCCTTGGGATGAATGCCAGTTCTTCCCCTTTGGGAAAGCCTTGAAAGTCTTGGGGACGCCCCTGGGGCCAGGAGTAGCCTTGAGAGATGAGGAGCCCACCACACATCACTGAGGAAACAGCAGCTTCTGAATCCTTCTTTGTCTCATCTTAACTCGTACTGCAGGTGGGCAAGAAGTGGCGTGGAGGGAGCAGAAGCCGAGCCAGTTTAAAACCGAGGCCTCTTAGACCAGTTGTCCTATGACAACTATGTTTATACCTGTGGGCCAGGCATGTTTCATTCATTTTGTAAATCAGCTTTTAAGAACCAATTTGCCCAATTCTGTTCTTGTAGGGGAAACATGGCATTTGGAGGCTCGGTAACGGACATGGATATAAAGAAAGGGTGGGTTGACCTAAAGGCTGTAACTGTAGGGTGTTGATGGCTTAACCAAGAGGCATGAGGAGTTGGTAATCTACCTCCAGGGAAGTGTTTGTAGTGTACAGATAACATGGTCACTGCCCCGCTGCTGGCTGTGAGCACAGGGAAGGACAGGAAGACCACCTTTGCTTGATACTTGTGACAGTTTGAAGAGGAATGCCCCCCATAGGCTCATGAATGTGAATGCTTGGTCCTTAGAGAGTGGTGCTACTTGAGAGGGATTAGGGGGGTGTGGCCTTGTTGGAGGAGGTGTGTCACTGGGGGTGGGCTTTGAGGCCTAGTGGTTCTCTTTCCCCACTGCTCCTGGATCTGGATGTAGCACTCTCCACTTTCACGTCTGCCTGCATGCCTCCAAGCTCCCTGCCATGAAGATAAAGGACTAAACCTCTGAAACTGGGAGCCAGCCCCACCCAAATGCTTTCTAAGGGTTGCCGTGGTCATGGCGTCTCCTCACAGCAATAGAACACTGACTAAGACACCCCTCTCTGTATGTGTTCCGCATGTGTGTGTGTGCTATGTGTTGACTTAGGGGGTGGAGTGGAAATGCTGGGTTTTCCTTTAGGGGATAAAATCATGTGATCATTGTGTGCCTGCTTGCTGCTCCTAGGAGAAGGTTTTCATGAGAAGAGCTAATTAGTTAGAAAGTCTTCTAATGAAGGGTGGGTGAAAAGTGTTGGACACAGTTCCTGGCTGTGATTACAGTGTCGTTTTAGATTTTGTTTATTTATTTATTTGGTTTTTCGAGACAGGGTTTCTCTCTGTGTAGCTTTGGAGCCTCTAGCTCTTGTAGACCAGGCTGGCCTCAAACGCACAGTTTGACTCCGGCGTGCTGGGATTAAAGGCGTGCACCACCACCACCTGGCTGGTCCTAGACTTTTTAAATGCATCCATCTCTTGTATCGCAAGCAGGAAGTATGTGTTTGGTAGGGAAAGGGGGGGGGAAGAAGTGGAAGGAAGGAGACTCTGGAAAAACGACTGTAGTACAGTTAGCCCTTCATAGCCGTGCACAGAGTATCCAACTACTAACCAAAAGTTTATCTAAAAATTACATCCTGGGGCTAGAGAGACGGCATGTAGGAGCGTCATTCTTCAGAGGAACCAGGTCTGATTCCCAGAACCTATGTGGCACCTACAAACTGAATAGATTTCCAGTTTCAGGCAGTCTGACACACCCTCTCTGGCCTCCACTAGCAATGAATCTGGTGCACACACATACACATAAAGAATAAATCTTAACATACAATTCTCTGATGAACACATACAGATGTCTTTCTTGTGGCTATTGCTTTGCACATAGTATTCATATTCTCTTATCAGAAAGCTAGCGATGACTTGAAGACTATTGGGGGCTGTGCATAGGCGAGACAAAGACTTCCGTTGTTTAGAGACAACGTGTCCCTATGTTGTCAAGGCTTGCTTTGAACTGGAGATTCTCCTGCCTCAGCTTCTTGAGTAATCTGGTTTATTGTGTATAGCACCCGCAGTTTAACAGAAGGGATTTGACTAGTCATAGGTTTTAGCCTTCTTGGGTGCTCTAAAATATCCTTGTGGACATTAAGAGGCCAGTCATATTTCATAAATACCTAGAGAAAAAGCAACGTTGGGACCCTAGAGTCTGGGCACAGTTTGGCAGTCGAGCAAGAACCTTCCCCTGTTGCTGTATGTTGTTTGTTCCCCTGTGAGGGTTCCCAACTTCTGTCGATT